TTATTACCATGTAATTACATGGTAATAACGAGCAACTATGTTATATTCATCTTAATACCATGTAATTACCATGTAATTACATGCTAAAAAGGGTACTGTGAAAGAAAGCATTACCGTTTTAAAGAATGAATGCATTGCTTTCTGTATGTGTAAATGTTGTTGCCCTTTTCCTGTCTTCCCCTTTTAAGTGTTTAAGCACATTCAGGCTAACATTGTCAATAAGAAATTGTTCTTAATATTTTGCCCGGTGAAATGAAGGTTAAAATAGTTGCATCAACCTTCAATTCAGTTTCTTGACTGACACGGATATTTGTGCTCCCTCTGCATGCAGGCATCCTCTCAGTACTCTCCTTGTCTTCTGAGTGCACCTCCTTAGCGTCGGAGCTCCCCAAAGTGTCCTACGTCAAGGCCATTGATATCTGGCTTATTGCTTGCCTGCTGTTTGGTTTCGCTTCGCTGGTGGAGTACGCGGTGGTTCAAGTGATGCTGAACAGCCCGAAGCACATCGAGGCAGAGAAAGCCAAGATAGCGTCCAAGGAGAAGGCTGCAGGAAAAAGCCCCGCCGCCAAGAGCAACRCCAACAACGGAACCGGAGGGACCCCGCTTCACGTCAGCACCTTGCACGTCAGTAAACTGAATCAGAGTGTGTGTGGATGTGTGTTTCTGTTGGGAAACAAAGGTTTTGTTACATTTTGGTTATAAAATATGCTGTTTTCTCTGTTTTTCCTCTAAATTACTTCAAGTTCTGCTTTTGGACTTTGGTCTTGAATACAACTGGAAATTCTGCTGACAGGTTCTTTTAAAAAAAAAATCTAGAAGAGAGTAGATCTTTAACTCATTAACGGTCGCTCCTGAAATTCCTTAAAAGCCTTTCAACATTTTTAATTTTTTTTGTGAGGGTGTCAAATTAAAGCTAAGAAGTCATCTGACAATAGTTTTCAAAATAAAAGCCAACCGTATCATCTGGAGTTTAGATGGAAAAAAAAAAACGCACCGATTTTGCCCAGACTGTTCGGGGGTTAAACTTTCAGGAACACTGATGTAGACAATATGGTCTAATTTCCAGTCAGGTTTCATAACTTTCCTTATTTTTTGAATAACAACATTCTGTCTATCTAAAGTAAATTAAAATATATATTATGTTATTCCTAAATTTTTTATTCTGTATGTTACTTTCAGTGATCATCTTGTAAATTGCTGCAGCTAAGGCTCGCGTCACACGGCAGGATAATTTTGCTGAATTCTGCCCCGATTTTGCCTTTCCAACAATCTTAAGGATGTCCAGATTATCGTGATGACTCTAAAGATAATCTAAGCAGATATTCCTGCCGTGGGTGGGGAGTTAAGAGTGATCTAGTCAGCTCGGAAGGATGTCGGGACCGCTCCGACCTCAAATCTGGGATATTCAACATGTTTGATTTTTTTGGCCCAATATCCCAGTGTGTGTGGTGATCACCCTGCAGCCAATCAGAAAGCGAGATAACGTAAACACGGAGTGAAATCCTAAATACAGAAGACATAAAAAAAACTGTCGTGACTCAACAGAAAGTCAGCTGGATGTTAAAGGCACAGTGTGTAGGATTTGTTGTTTTCAGTGACATCTAGTGGTTGAGTGGTTGAATCATCCTCCCTGGTCCTCCCCCCACCCCCACCCCCCGCTTCCAAACGCAAAGGAGTTGCTACGGTGTCTCTCAGGTGTCAAAAACCTTTGATAATTCCAACCGCGATGTAAGAGACAGGCTTCAGGGCTAGTGATGTTTCAAGTGTTAAGATTATGAGCTTTAAAGTAAAATGATCCCAGCTACAATGACAGACAACAAATATTACATTTATAGTATTATAACTAAAACCGTTTTTGATGCCGCCACCGCAGTTTGTCCTTCATGAGCCTTCATAGACAAGATGGCGGTGCAAGATGGCGGCTGCCTGTAGTGGCGACCYGCGACCATGGAGATATAAACAGCTTTTTATAAGGTAAAAATAATAAAACAAGGTCTTTGTCTGCAATGATTAGACATGTTTTTTATTATTGTCATTAGTGATTATCTCAGTTTTGGCTAAAAGAATTGACAAAATCCTACACACTGTGCCTTTAAGTCATTTTGAATTATTTTTCCTCCATTAAAAACAGACCACAAATGATCAACATTGTTTTTTCCTCGTCTCAAATGTTCATTTACTCACGTCTCCCTGGAGGTCACGCAAGACTTTTCCTCCGTCATCCGAATTCTCGCGAGATTTCAAGAAGTCTCACGTGATTTCACTTCTGACATTTAAATGTTCATCAATGAAATCTGTGCATGTGTGTTGTGTTGTCTCTTGCCGTGTGGCTGAACACCACATACTGTGGACCAAACCTGGTACGTATATCCAGGATTTTTTCATCCTCACTTTTGTCTCAGTGTTTGGAAATTGGACGACAATCTTTAAAATCAAATCTTAAGATTTATTGTTTTTTTTTGTGTGTGTGTACAGTGTCATGAAACAACAATTGTTGTGATTTGGCGCTATATAAATAAACTGAATTGAACTGAATTAAAATCTTGCTGTGACGCAGGCCTCGGCAAGTTAAGCAAACAGACACAAGCTTCAGAGAAAACAGTGTTTTACTGCTATTTGCAAATCTTACAATATCAATAAAGAAAACTGCCAACAAACCTAAAATGCTCACTGTTGGGACGTAATTTTGCACAAAACTCAGAACCCTCCTCAGTAATGATACAATTCTCACAACCATATTTCAGATCCAACACCTGCTGGGTGTTTTGTAACTTGGAAATCAAATCTAAATGCAAAACAGGGGGATCCAGTCTTGCCAATAACACAAATAACACCCTTCAAAGTCAGGCTCTAAATTCAACACGTGTTTTTCCAATTTATCACAAAATTGAAATGAATATACTTGTGAGTCTGCTTCTCCAAAATTCATTTGGTATGAGAGGTTAACATTATCATGTTGAAATTCAAATGGATTTTCTTATCAAAACCAYGCAAGATTAAATTATCCTGATGACTTCGGTCTAATAAGAGCCTGTCAAAATGGAGATGGCTTTAACCTGAACCTGTCATCAGATTGTATAGTACAAGGGTGGGCAATCCTGGTCCTCGAGGGCCGCAGCCCTACAGGTTTTTATGTTTTTCCCTACTCCAACACACCTGATTCAGACATTAAATTACCTCTTCCAAGTTCTGCAGTATGGAGGACCCAAACTGACATAACTAGAAAAAAAAGCAGAAATGTATAAATGGACCAATAAATAAATTCAACTAAATATGCACTAATTAAATTAAAAAAGGAGAGCTTTACCTCACATTTTATAATTTAATTGACCTTCATATTTATTTTTCCAACTTAGTTCTAACAACTAATATAGTTTTGCACATAATTTACATTTTACTGTGTTTATATATATATATATATA